GGGGGTGGTGGAGGGCCTCTCTATAGCACGTTTTTGCTAAATTATACCTTAAATTGACAATATGTATGCATTTAGAAAAGATTTAATTTATTAAGTCTCTATAATTGTGTGTGTGGCAGTAATTATAGAGACTTTGATACATACTAGTAATTATGTTTGGTAAAAACGGGTTGAAAATTTGCATAAAGAAACATAATTTCGTAATTTTATAAAATATTATAAGATAAATATCATATGACAAAATTCACTAAATTAACTTTATTTGAATTTTCAATTCCGTTTATTAAAATTCAACAACTTTTATTTACATATGTAGGAGATGCGAAGTTAAAATTTTTTCATTCAAGGACCCATTAAACTGTCTCTGCTATGAATAGTCGGCACGCTTCTATCCTGAGGATTTAATATAGAGACGAACCACATCTATATTTCCGACAATACGATGTTATCGATAGTGTCAGAAAATGTATATCACGTAGTTCTCAAACTGAAAATGGATGTACTGGCGGTAGTGTACGGGCGATTTCGATGGTTAAAGCCAGAATCAGATTCTGCATTGAAGATTGAGATTGAAGATTGAAAATTGAAATTTGACCGATAGAGATCAAGGAATTTTAGCTCCTATAGTTTTGATTGGTCAAATTTCAATCTTTCAATCTTCAATCTCAATGCGTAGTCTGATTCCTGAGGGGCTTCGCACTATAATAGGTACAGGGAACAGAGAACAAGAATTTCAACCTATTAGAAACTGTGTATTCCACAATACATGATTTCTGATAGGTTGAAATTCTTATTCTCTATTCCCTGGTCCTTTTATTGTGCAGAGCCTCTAACAGGAAAAAAAACCGACATGGCCTCTCTCAGATTAATAATTCTTTTGTAAAAAGCTGCATTTATGCATAATACGATTGATCAATCAATGAAAAATCTCGTTTATACTTATTGTCTATTATTACATTATTAGGTATTAATAATTATAACAGTAGTACAAAATGAACATAACGGAAAAGCAGAAAATAATTTTATTAAATTATACGAGAGACAATAAAAATTTTGCAATAGGCCGCTTACGTTGCAGCAGTGACAATAAAAAAATATTAGTCAGTACTATACATTATCAGTTTATATTAAAATTAGAGATCTTATCGGCAATGTCATAATATTTTGTTTATAATATAATAATAGGTGATAAGTAAATTAATTTTGTTTATGCAGGATAATATTGCGTAAATCTTGCTACTGTTGGTTGACTTACACATGTTACAAAATCTTGGTCAATTCGCTTTTGATATAAACCAGACGATATAAAATTCAATGCAATTAGAACCTGTAACAAAAACTTATTGTTATAATAAATAATAAGTTTCCAATAGAAAAACTAAATCATTATATTACTTTGTATGATGTTATTCTAACTTCAATACCTGTAATGCAACAGCAACTGCGTAATGTCGTCTTGGATTTAGTAGAAGAGGAAACTCAGTTGATCTCACTTGTCAGAATGCAAAAGGAACGCGCATTCACAACTGAGGTATGACGTCACAAGTGAGAATTATTTGAGAATCGGTGTAAGGCGTCGTCTACAATACACGGAGTAAGAAGTAAGAGTAAGAAATTGACCAATCACAGTCGATTATTCTTCTCACATTCGACTGTGATTGGTCAATTTCTTACTCTTACTTCTTACTCCGTATTGTAGACGATCCCTAAATGGAAAGCAGCTACTGCCAGCACTGAAAATGCTACAGTTTACGTTACGTGCACTATAGATTTTCAGTACTGGCAGTCAATTGGCCGTGTTCCAAATTTACTGCTAGCACTGAAAATGCTACAGTTTACGTTACGTGCACTATAAATTTTCAGTACCGCAGTCAATGTTGGTTGGAACACAACCAATATTGGAACACAGCCATGAATCCACGAGCATTGAGAGCGTGAAGTGGAATACAGCCCAAGATTACAGATGAATGGAATGAATGGTACATATTCGCGACTAGCTATTTTTGTACCATGACTATCGGTGAAAAAAAAAAAACAAAACCAAACAAAACTGTCTGGTCGTCTTGTAACCTAATTTAGTTTATTTCCTTTATTTAGTTTTTCTTAATTATTTGCATTCGTAAAATGACGATGAATTAAGAAAGAAATAACGTGTGAAAACACCATTAAAAGAGAGATCTAAGTTTACTCCAAGAAACTTAATGAAATTATTTTAGAGAAAAAGGAAACGAAAGTTGTCAAATAACTGTCACTGCAAGTTTCATATCGAATGATTGTCGCTTCTTAAATCTGTACTTTTTGTATGGCAATCGATTAAAGGAAGAAGCATTATTGAAAATATGAAAACTGTAGAAAGTTAAGTCTCAATTTGCTGAGAAGCAGTAATTATAAAAATAATATATTATTTAGGAGGAAAGGAAATTAAAAGTTTTGTGTCAAATGACTACCCTTGAAAGAAATCAGTTTAAGCTTAATAAAATTATTTAACAAATCTTAATGAAAAGGTGAGAAAGTTAACCTTTGTGCCAAATAATTGGTCGATGTCTAATAAATGGTTGAAGGCACTCAGGTGAATTGAATCTGAATTTTTCTAAACTATGGAAAGTAGCCATAAACTTTTCATTAAACAGCTAATCAACTGTCAGACTCAGTTCTAAGTAATGTCATGAAAATTCTTACAACACCAATATGTAACTCAATTTTTTGTGCACTAAGAACTCTTGCCAAATACAAATCTTTTTATATTGTAATTTGCCAATAAAAATATGAAAAGATCATAGAAAAAAAGCAAAGATTAATTCAAAATATTATAACGATATTAATTATATAAAATATTTTTTGTTGGACATCATGAGAGAGTACATAATCGCTGATTGGATCATTGATTTTTAAGCTAGAACATTGATGTTTGTTGTCTTAAAGCATTCGAGAACAATACTTACAGTATCAAGCACGATTTTCATACCTGAGTGAGAATGTCGGCACACGTTATGTGCTTGACCTCTTCTGGAGGAATTCCTCTGTTTTCGCGCCAAAAGGGAGACAGTAACACGGTATGCACATAGAGAATAAATAATATTATATATAATATTCGTAAATATAAATGTAATTTATTTACTCATTAATGATAGACAATGGTACGTTTTAACTAGGGATGCACCGAATCGTAAAATTACGAGTACTGGATATTTGATATCCGAAAAGAATGTAACATCGGATATCCAATATTTTCCGACCGGACATTCCGGGACAATGTCTTTAAAAAAAAAAAGCTTAGTAAGGAAAGAAAAAAGAGAACAAAAAGGACTGTACCAATACAGATAATAACTGTAGAGAAAAAATTATTATTTTGCAACTATATATAAGATATAGCATTATTTCAACCGGATATATTCTCGGATACTAATGATATCCAACTATCCGATTGGATAGTAAAAAAGTGCCGGATACCGGATACTTTTCGGATATCCGGTGCATCCCTAGTTTCAACTGTACTCGTTTATGAGTGAATAAATTATATTTATACTTACATTCTCTTTGTTTGTATTTTTGCCTTTTTACTTTTATCCTTTTTTGCTTTACAAGCCTTCATTTTATTTTATTTAGATATCTTAGACTTGATAATAATTTGCAGATGACGTTTTCAAAAATCGCTTCCCTCAATGGAGTTCACATGTTCTTGAAATCACAGGACATCACTCTACTGAGTACGGATTTGCCAGACGTAACAGTGGCATGGAAAGAATTCGAACGGTGTATCATACTGATAGCAATTGCGAGTGGAGTAACAAAATATGTGCTGGACAAATTTTTGGACGCGACTTTTGGCGCAATGATTCTCTTCACTGGTATTGATGAGATAAAGAATACTAAGAATATAGAAAGACTTAAGAAAGACATGCGTCTTTGCAGTCCTATTATCGATAGACTGATGGACTGCTTGGACATAGGGGATAAAATTTCTACAAAAACCGATATGATTAACATGACAGAATGCATTATATCTTCGGAAAGTCATTTGCTTCAGGTATTTATAAGATCTTGCATACAGTAAGATGGTTTTGAGCATGGTATAATTCTGAATGACACGATTTCTCAATCTGATTTTCAAAGTTCAAGTGGGTTTTTTCTGTTCGGCATCCTTCAGTCCTTTCCATATAATGAAAGGGTTATCAAACTTAAACTTCAAAAATTTAATTCAAATTTTATTTTGTTTATAATTATACCATATTTGAAATTATGCCATCTTACTCTACAATCACGAAACTAATTGTGTGGACTAATATACAAAGCATCCCATTTTAAATACCAAAACATCTCGAAAACAATGTATTTCTAAAAAAAAGTTTCAAATAAAAGTTGTAGGATTTGAAGAGGGAATTAGATGAGGGCTACTTTTAGATTTTGGACACACTTTGGGTTCAATAAAGCTCAGGTTAATTTTTCTTTGATAGAAACGTCTATATTTTATCGTAGATTTGTATTTTATTAGAAAAAAATAAAATTTTTTGTGGTAATTTTTCTGAATCTTCTTCCAAAAATAGCGCTAAAAGTTCTTATTTCGAAACACATTCCAACCAGTGAAGGCAAGACTTGTTGGATCCGAAGTAGGCCTAGGACCCAAAATTTAAATACGTCATCTAATAACCCTTTTCAAACCCTTTTCCCTATAAACTTTTATTTGAAACATTTTTTCATTCACACGCAACATGCTGGCACTGATAGTTTCAGAATTATACAAATTAATTATCAATGGAATAATGTATGCGTGAAACTACAATTTTTTGCACCCGGATAACAGTTTGAAAAAAATTATTGATGTAATGGTGTACTATTCAGACAATTAGTTTTAAATTACAGCAATTAGTTTTAAGCTACAACAAAATTACATATGATACTCAATAAATACGTATTCAAGACCTGTTTAGAGGGATTTATGGAATGTCTGGACTCAATGTATGGATGTGTTTTGGTGCATGGTTGTGTGGCAGCTGCTACAGAAGGCTGGTGGTCATTGGATCCTGTGGAAAGAAAATTATTAACAATAGCGATTGGTTCAGAGAGTATTTGTACCACGCGAGACATTCCAGTGTTTTTACCTCATAAAAGTTCAAACGTATGTATTTGTAAGGAAAAATGTGTGCATATATTATATATATATTTTCTAAAATTAAAAAATAAACTAAAAAGGATATGTGAATAATTATATATAACTTTAATTATAACTTCAATTTACAACGTCTTGTTTAGGTAGCTTTCAGATTGGTATCTGTAACTCTAATTAATCATGTAGAAGTGCTGGCATTATGTGGACCAAATCCAGAATTAACAGAAATTGAGAGATATGCTATGCAATGCTGGAAGAGCAATATGGATGCATTATGCACTGTTGAACAGTGTTACCCACGAAACCTACCTATGTCGGTCTCTTTAGATAGTGAAACACTTGGGTAACTGGAATAAAAAAATTCATTTATCTGTTCAACTATTTTATGTGATTGATTATTATAACATTCTATGAATTTTTCAGATTTTTACTGGCTAATTACAAGATAGAAAAATTCGTACTTGGCAGAAACTCTCAATGCGCGAAAAATCGCGTGACGGGATCGCACAGATTAGATATTTTGCGAACGTTTTACCATCAAGCGGTTGAAACATTTGCGCTGTCAATCGAACACGAAGAGAGTAACGATGAAAAATTAACCACGAGTACCTGGAAATTTATCGGGGCTAAGGAAACATACTTGTGTTCCGAATATCACAAATGTCATGCTGTGAAACATGGTGACAATATACTTTGCGTTTTATACACGTCTGTAGTGCCTACTCACACTATGAGACTGATTAGTCAGAAAATAGTAAAAATGATATTTAGCGATAAGCAAACATATTGGTAACTTTCATTTTTTTTTACTTAATGAATTTATAAAATAAAAAAACAATAGAATAATGTATAAACAATGAGAGCTTTACACAGCGCGGGAGTTGGTGCGCAATTTATAAAATAATCATAAAATGTTCACATAATGTATTAAAAACAATGACTTCCAATACAAACTTATTAGGACGTTTCGGTTTACTTCAAACCATCTTTAGCCAATTTATATAACATTATAATAGATATGTCGACAGAAAACGTTGGATAAAGTTGAAATTATGCTCTATGTGAGACCGAGGATGAGTATCTCCCTACTGTCTGGTTGGACAATTTCTGTCTGTTTGCTGTTTAGCCAAATAACTAATTAAAGAGTACAATGGACATAATTATTATTAAACAATGTAACAAATTCAATGTATCTGCTTATTATCACTCACCCTCATTCTCCATAGATCAACTCAGTTATTCAAAGCGCAAGTCAAATTATAAGAGATACGATTACAAGATGGTCAGAGAGAAGGAGAGGGTGGAAGGGAGGGGAGAGAGAGAGAGAGGGGTAGGGAGGGAGGGAGAATATTGCAAATGCAGAGAAATGCCAAGCGTTACTTAAACCTATAATATTCTCTTTATTTCCGCAAAACGTATGTAAATTTATCTTTTTTTTCTCTTAAAAAAAAGGAAATGTTAAATACAAATATGGAGAAGAAAAAGCTAACTATAGATCTGTATTTTGTTTGAACTGCGCTTGCTGCACTGCGTTTCTCTCTTTTCTCTTTCTACCTTTGTTATCCGAATCTATATCTATTTCGTTTTAACTACAGGAGGTGCAAAGCTAGGAGAAACAGGTTTTTTTTTATTATAACACGTGCACGTGTATCCCAGGGTATCCCAGATTGACGCAGTGTCTGTTCCAAGACAATAATAAGAAAACGGTGATTTCTTTCAAGTCATAAGGAAGCGAGAATATTTTAGTGATATCCGACTGCTGCTGGCTAGCAGCCTCAAAAAAATCGATAAGGGAGACGCGCGAGCCAACAAAGGCGCACGCGTCGAGCGTTACTGATGCGTGTCAGCTGTCCCGATCGTAAGTAAAACGGGAAAGAGTACAGGTGTTCCTCACTCCACGTCCGTGGTCTTCCAATGTAGAGCTACGATCGAATGACTTAAATGGCTTGCGACAATTGTACGAAGGTATATTTGGGATACGAGGACGAGTACGTTACCGACAAGCACCGGTCCTTGCTCAACTTTACGACGAACAAGATCGGGGGGTATCCAGTGAGTAGGGAACGATAGACTCACCTTCAGGGGAATCGCCGTTTCCCCCGTCGCGATTACTAATATTTTATTAGGTCAATTTGCGATATCATTCAGTTAGCGCAGAATGTTATAAATTTAATAAAGTATGATATTTATACAAATATAATACATGAAATATATTATATAGGTATATGAATAAATAATTATACATATGATATATGAAATATTCTGTCATGGAAAAATGTTTAATATATATTTTTTGAATGTTAATTATAGTTTAAACAATTCCATTAATATTTTATTTAATAAGTCATTATTTTGCTTGACGTATATAATCATGCAAGTAATAATTATAATATATAATATGTAATGTGTGTGTTTGTTTCCTAGAACTGTGATGGGAAGAATACATTATCGTCACCACAATGTAGACTCTGTGGCTTATATCAGCTCTTGGCACTCCAATTGTTTGCTCCGTTAGATAGCTCAAAGTACCATCGGACTTTATATATATTTGCATGTATCAACTCAAATTGCTGGAATCAAAATGAAAGCTGGACATGCTTGAGAATACAGCATCTAGAGGATGAAGTTAAGACTACGCCCGATTCTGGAAGCGTTAATGTACCATCCACGGCAGCTTGGTTGTCTGATGCAGACGATTGGGGAGATAGTGTAAATGATAATGCATCGGAACAAAATGGGAATAACATGTTAGAAAATGATCCGTTACAATTTCACTTTTCTCTGCGTAAAGAAATAGACCAGGATATACGAGAGGAATTGTCTGTACTGCGCGTGGATGATCCAAATGCAAATAGGTTCGTGTATATTAAAATCAATTTTATTTATGAATAATAGTAGCTATATGTATATCTCTTTTTCGAACGTTTCAGTCCAGCCAGCGTAGACTCTCCAGTTAGCGGAGGTGCTGTAGGTCGTTTAGATTCTCCTCAAGCTTCAGCAGAAATTGATGGAGATGAGAGTGAAGTCGTATGCATTGACACTCCAACGCGACCACAATGTGATTTAATTAGTTTACTGCACGAAGTAACTCCGTTGCCACTGCAAATCACGAACGCGGAAACCAAGTGTTCGTTCGTCGAGATATTTCTCTCGGTCGATGAGGAGGATTGCAGCATAGATGTGTCTCAACACGTTCGAGATTTATTGGTCGAATATCAGCATAGCAATCCGGACGCATCGACTAAGTTTACGCCAGATTCCGGCAATCCTAAAACCATCGAAACAGATGTAGAAAAATATGAGAAAAGCATTCCTAAACACGGTGATGAGATGTTCCACAATTTCCTTTGCAGAATACAGAGAAATCCTGGACAGCTGTTACGGTAAAATCTTTAACGATGTTTTATTCTCCATTTTATATACGTTTGTGTATGTAAAATAAAATGTATAATATATACATATATTTTTTCTATTAATTTTATTTTTATATAGGTATATGATGACTTTTATTTTTCAGCTATTCAAGGGACAATTCTGCACCATTACTGTTATATCCGCTAAGCGGTTGTATCGGTAAATGTCGGCATTGCGGCGACGAGATGACTTTTGAGCTGCAAGTTTTACCGACGATCATACCAAAGTTAATATTAAATCCAAGAAGCGATCGGAATTTCCAGATCGAGTTCGGCACTGTTTTAATATACACTTGCGTTAGAAGCTGTTGGTCTGCGACCGATTCATATCGAGAAGAGCATGTCGTTGTTCAAGCTGAAAGACTATAGTTGTAAAATATTAATAAGAAAAGTTACGAGTGAAGCTAAGGTTCTTCCAGTGATCCTATACTATATAGAATTTCATATTTACACGTCTAGGACGACTAGTCATGTTACGTCTGTAGAAGAATACCGTCCACCTCTTCATGTACACATCAAAAGTCCTATGTAGCGAGCGATGGTTGATAATAGTAAAGACGTTGCAGAGATATGTATCTCGAGCTACATTAAGCGACATGTGATTCGCAATTGAAAAAGAAAGATTTTAGGAATGTCTGATAGAAGAGAGTTTAGAGTAAGAGCATTTATTTTACTTTTCATCTCGATCTTAGTATATATAAGTACAGTGTAAGATATACCTGTACAATTGCTACTGACATATAAATACAGAAACCTTGATGGAAAACGACATATATTCCTTCTTGGAGCGAATTCATATGTATTGTACATTTTTACAGTTTACTTACAATGACTATCTTAATTATATTATAAAAAAAACAGTAGGTTGATTAAAACTAATTTACAGATAAATCAATACTTTAGATTCAAAAACGTACGACTAGCGAGTGCTACTTAAATATAGTGGTCACATTAAGCAAATGTGTTTTAAGAATAACTTGTTTTATCTTTCTTTCTATTATATATACACATATATGTATGGTGTATAAACTAAATTTATCAAATATTTAATAGGTTCTGTTTAACGGATGTTCGGCGAAATAATCTTTTTTATTGTACATAAGTTCGGCAACATCTTTGTTGAACCTATCACCATTGTTCCACTCTCCTGATGCAATCTCCTCTGCAAGAATCTCCACTCTGTTTATGGAGAGAATTGCAAAACTGTCGGCCAGGTTCTTATCCTCATTGTGGTTTCTCAAGCCGATGCAATACGCCCTGGAAGCTCGCGAAAGAATAGTAATCAGTGCGAATGTTCTCGTTGCTAATTCACCAACTCGACGCAGTTCCATTTGTCGTTCGGATATATTTATGCCATGGCGTTCTAACAGTAGTATCGAGACGGTCTGCAACCTGGTGATACACTTCTCCAGTTGTGTGCTACCTAATATGAAAGATGGATGCAAATGGTCAGCAAGTTTAAGGTCTGCTCGATATTCCTTACCCATGATCCACTTAAATATATACTCGGGAAAGATATAGGGATTTCGTAACTTAAATATGTGATTACGTAGATTTTTGCCCGTATGTTGTAAACCAAGTAGAGCTATATATATGTTGCAATCGATATTATATCCATCGAATAGGGTATATGACAATGCATCTTCGAAGATTCGTGTGTAAGGATTCTCCCTCAGGTAACTCTGCGATCCAACAAGTTGTAGGCCTTCGTAAATACGTGCGACGCACTCACTAGTACAATACATCTCCACCATGGCTTTCTCGAGTGTGCAATCCTGACTCTCAAATGTGTCCATTATGCCAGTGGTATAATACAGCATACTTTCCATCCCATACAGAGTACTCGCCATCTTACCTATTATCTCTTGAACGCTTTCATACTCATGCATATTTCTATCTAAATGTTTCCTCTGCAATACGTGCCTCGTCAACATTTTTGTAAATGCCTTCAATGTACCTACTGCTTGCGGAGCAAGGTTTCTGTTTCCAGGAGAGAGTAAATCTATCAGTATACTCGATCCAGCTTTCAGATCACCCAGAAGATTCTCCTTTGGAACTTCGGTATCTTTAAAAATAACTGTACTGACCGGGCTGTTTTGAAGGCCAACTAGATTCTTAACATCATTGATTATAACACCTCCGAAATCACGTTCCACCAGAAGTATAGATAGAAAACCCTCAGTATCAGTGATCGTACGGCGATGGCCACAGTGACAGAAGACGAGAAACAGATTGGCGTCATGCCCATTGGTTACAAACGTCTTCTCGCCATTTAATGACCAGTGTGTGTCATTTTCTGAGTTTATAGCTGTACTCATGATGTTATATATATTTATTCCGTTTCCAGGCTCAGTAAAGCACACCGTGGGAATGAGCTCTCCAGCCGCTATCCTTGGTAGATACTTGGCTTTCTGCTCTTCTGAGGCCAGCGTAGAGATGATTTGAACGGGCACGATGTGATTCTTGATCATGTAACACCCCAGCCAAGGGAAGCAGCTGAGTACCTCCACTAGCTTGGCCGACTCTGAGTGGTTCAGGTTCAGGCCGAGATGCTGCTCGTCCACGCACGCCCGAAAGACACCTAACTCTTTCAGATGAGCCAGAATGTCTTCCTTCTGGACGCTGTGCAGATTCTCCAGACACTCCGACATGTACTTCTCGATGGGCTGAAGCCATTCGAAGAAACGCTGATGCCTGTCCTTGGTTTGCGGCTCGGGATAGTACATGAACTCGTGATCGAACACGGCGAGGAACAGATTCTTGGCGAACGGCTTGCGTTGCGGTTGCTTCTTGAGGGAGGCCGGCAGCCGAATTTCGAGGTTAAGCGTGTCCAGTGCATGTTGGTTGACGCGCTGGTTTTGCGTGTGACGGACAGACGTGCAGACGCACGAGGCATGCCACAATTGCTTCCTACACAGTAACCGACGTGCCAGCATCGTTGTTGCGTTAAGATAACCTCTTTGCAACTCTCTCGAAATGCGAAGGATGCATAAACACCGAAGTGACCGAAGAGGTTATGGCGAACAGTTACGAGATTATTGGTTTTGACCTTTGACGAGTTGACTGCACTGCTCTGCTGCTGGTTTCGTGTTGGCTGCACTGCTCTTGTTTAAATACTGCCGCGCATTTTCTCACAAGCTCCTTTACTGTCTATTTCTATTACTGTAAATTAACTTTGATCTTAGTTGAATTTACTCTTCATCTCTTTTTTAATTTTTATAATTAAAAAAAAGACAAAAAGTAAGTTAAACTAAGATTAAAATTAATTTACTTTGGTAAAAATTTGGGTGATTTTGAGCAAATTTTGATTAATTTAACTCGACCGGCAGAATTGTTTTAAGATAAAATTTCGAATACATTGTTCTTAATCTTTTTTCGGCATTAATCAAAGTTCTATTAATTTAATATTTAATTATGATGATAATTAATGATTAAATTAATTTAATAGTTGTATTTTTTTATTCACATTTAGATTTGTACATTAGACGCATTTTTTTAAAGCGTACATAGGCACCCTCTTTCTTACTGTTCAATTAGCTGATTTTATTTAACAATTACATTATTTATTGTTTGTAATATATAAATGTAAAAAAAGATATTTCCACAGTAAAGGAATTATGTATAGTGTTTATCTCAGTGTTGAGTTTAATTTAATTAAATTCAGGAGAGAGAAATTATTTGCGTTAGTTATTTTTAAATATTTTTTGCAAAACAATTTCAAGAATATTATTTTTAGATTTCCTGTAAGAAATTTACTTTCTTTTGCAGCGTATATTTTTTTTATTGAAAAATTATATGTTTCCGTACTTCAGCTGTCTACATGTATATTTTGCACACTCTTGATATATGCGTCAAAATAGCTAATTACATCATGTAAGAAAATAAAATCTCAATTGCTTCATGTAATTTACATGAAGCAATTGAGATTTTATTTTCTTGCTTATATTTTTTTCATGGTGGAATTCTACTATGATTTTTTTATTAAAAAATTATATGTTTTCGTGCTTCAGCTGTCCGTAAATGATACATGTAACGCATCAGAATTGCTAATTTAATTGTCAATTAGTTGAAATAGATGAATATAAATTTAATTTTCTCGCTCCGTTTCGTTTGTAGTGCATTTAATTTAACCATTTGTTCTGAGTCCGTATTTCCGGAGAAGACATGACGAAATTAGGACAATGCCCGCGAAAGCGACACTGCTGATTCTGCTGTCACTCGCATTTACCTCGAACGGCTGTATCTTTAGCAAGCGCAGCAAAACGCGCACTCATCGAAGCGATGACGAATGTGTTTGTGCCACCACTGTTTGTTATAACCCTTTGACGGATGCAAATGTTACCGTTGATCCCCACTGCGACTGCAGATCTATTGGTTTTGGGGTAGTTCGGATAATCCCATACGGGACCTGCATTGCAGATGCATGCGGCACGATACACGTCGACTTGTCCTCCGCGTGTGTCAGATGCGCCATGTGCGTGGCCGTCGCCGAGAAGGCTTGTATTTTTGATGCAATATCACTTATATAATAATTAAATATATAAATCGTACACAAATTTATTATTATTATTTTATTAGTTAACAAGATATTAATTACTAAAAATTGTCAAATATTAGTCTTGAATAATTTTTTACTCAAATACTATTAACTTAACAGAAAAACTGCAAGAGACAAAATCATTAATTTTCTTCTCGTAAAGTTCTGAAAATTTTTTCAGAATTCTTTATCAACTTTTTAGTACTGCATTTTCTTATTTTTACCAACATGAGAAAATACGGTATTAAAAAATTCTGAAAAAATTCTCAGAATTTTATGAGAAGAAAATTAATGATTTTTGTCTCTTGTGCAGCTTTTCTATAAAGTTGATAGTGTTTGAGTAAAAAATTATTCAAGACCAATATTTGGTAATTTTTAATATCTTGTTAACTATTGCGAGCATTGCAAAATGGTAGAGGACTTTTTGACTCAGTTTAGTCCGCTCTATCTATACAAAAGCGATTGGCACAAACTTTCGGGACACCCTGTATAATACATTTTGTATCTCCTCATTATATTAAAATAATATAATATGTATAATGTATATTTATATAAATTTTTATCCATTTTTTTGCTAAATTAATTTTTATCTCGTAATTTTTTCTCAGATTAATCAAACTCTGTTGGAAGTTCATGACATAATGATGCCTGATGACTGGCTAAATGAAACGGAGACAGTGCTCCTTTTGAGAACTATCTGCGATTATTCTTTTCAACAGTAAACACTTTCTTTTTTTTGCTACATAATTTTACAATACACTTCTTCATTGATTCAACGATCGTGATATTTATAGCTATGGTTTGCGTGAAATTGATGGCAAAAGATTGATTTCTGACCCGTTACCGGGTGACAAGCTCGTTATTTCATCCGCCGATGGGTTATGGGAGAAAAAGTAAGATTTTTATAGAAAAAGCTTACATTATAGCTGTAAAAAATAGCGAAAGAATTAATTAAATTTTTATGTAAGATGTGAAAGTTATAAGAGCGGTTTCATTCAAAGAAAATTATTTATTACTATCGATCTCGATTTATATGATAATTAATTATGAGAATCTCTTTTAATTTATCATAAAAATAGATGAGTGATTAGCTTATAAATTAATTATTTTGATTAGTTTGAGAAACATGTGTCACAACTTTCTCGATGAGATACAAGAACTGCAGTTATATAGAAATTGGAAGGAGTGGTGCGAGGATGACGAACACATTCCTAATCTCGAAGATATTCTCTGCAGGTATAATATCAGCATACATTCAATTCGAAATTTATCTTTTCATTTTTTATTTTATCATCTTCTAGTTTATATTAGATTTAATTAGACTATTTAAATTTTAAATGATATGAATTGCAAACATGTCAATTCTCACATGATAACATCCACAGCAAGATTTGACCTTGTCTCATAATCTATAAGATTGATTAACTAATGGTGATTACCTAATGACTTACGCAGAATAAATAATTTATAAATTATGATTTATTGTACTCTGAAGGTGAAACAAAAATCTTTGTATTTGCCGTAGAAACGAGATTAGCAGTTTACGAGATTGCAGAGGTATAAGCAACGTATACAAGCGACAAGTACCTATGATTTTCGGTACTCGTGTGAAGCTTCTAGCCGAATATATATAATAATTTTGAGTAACTATTTATATCATCTATTTTTAATTAAAATTTGAACAAAAGTTATTAGAGGTAGCTCGATAACATAAAAAACATAAATAAGAAGGAGTATACAACCACATATGCAAGGTATTTTTCGCACCAGTCATATATTTAAAATTAATTACATGTAAATGTTTCGGTCAAGGCGTGACCACCCTCAGTATATAATAGAGTGCAAATGTTAAATACTAAACTAGCACGTTAGGAAATTCCTAATGTGCTATTTTAGTATTTAACATTTGCAATCTATTGTATTATATTAATGATGGTCACGTCTTGACCGAAACGTTTACACGTAATTAATTTTAAATATATGATTTGTGCGAAAAATATCTTGTATATGTGGTTGTATGCTCATTCTTATTTATGTTTTATTTTTAATTATATAAAAAATATTATCTATCAAATAATATTATATACACTTAATATGCTACTATTTGATATAATAATTTTATTATGATTAATAATAATTTTATGATTTGAATAAAAGCAAACATTTAACTAAACTTAAGTCTATAAGCACAATACGATGTATATTGTGAACTGTAGAATTGTCTAAAATAACACTTTGACAGAAAAAACAGAAAGCAGAAAAGCAAACTTTAATCAGAATTTGCGCTGACTCGCAGAAAAGCAAAAACTGCAAGAAAGCAGAAACTGTCGATTACCAGCGCAAGTCCTGATTAGCCTGCTTTTCTGCTTTCTGCTTTCTGCTTTTCTGTCAAGACGTGAATTCTTCCTAATACATTGTCATAGTTATCCAAAATATTTTTACAATTAAATAGCGAAAAAATGTCACACTGAAAAAATGTTTGGGTCAACAAAACGGGGTTTAATTGTAAAACGGAAAGACTCGAATGTTTTCCACATTCGGTGGGATTCTTTTGATTGACTTTATCTTCTTCTTGGGCAAGCTCGAGAAAGAAGACCAGGATGTTCTTTTAGGACCTGTTGATCTCCGCCGTACTTTCAAAGGTTCCAAATCTCTCGGTTCTTCTGGAGAAACGTCACGTTCTTGAAAACCGACAAACGACTGCACTTGACGAGCATGATCTTGTAACATGGTCATATAAGGGAGATCATAGCCGCGTAACTTGCCAGTTGGAGTAGCAACGAGATGAGGATGGTCGTTGGGACGATTGTGACCACCATCGTGATGATGATGAAAGTGGAGGTGTGATATCAGATTGTGCTTACGTATACCGCGCACAACAGTTTCCTGCATCTGCCTTCGCTTATTCCATATTCTTTCGAAGATGCCAATAGAAATCGCAATAACCATACCTGCTACCAGCAGGAAGAAAGCAGAGTAGACGTCGGCGAGCCTCGCGCTATGGAAGTCCGCCGACGCTGCGCACCGCGGCATCGTCGGCAACATCCGTTCTTGTATCTTGTCCAGGACGCCGCGTTCGTAGATTCGCAATATACTGCAAATAAAATAATACAAATTACAAACGAGATGCCAATTTATTAGCTGACTCGCGTTAAAAAATTACTTTCTCTAAACATATTTTTCTATAATACATTAATAATACATTCTATAATACGTTAATATATTAATGTATTATAGAATTTATGTATTATAAATCGTAGCGAGTCTCTCTCTAATTGCTCTGAGAATGATTAATAACATCGCATGTATATGAACCTGTTCCGATCAGAAAGTATAATATGTGGCGTCATTAATCGTTTTCAGAGCGATCTAATTTGCTGCTAATAAAACATGCTAATAAAACATGTTATAGTATACTATGATTTCGATGATTGACCAATGACTCCACTAACCAATTAGCTTAAAAATATTAGCTGAGGCGTTTTTTC